CGTACTATTAAGTAAGTGAGCCGCAAACCTCGTTTGTGGTGATGTAGGCTAGAAATATCCTATCTGATACCATAATCTAAAACTCAACTATTCGGGTTTCATTCTGGTCAAAAAAAAAAAAAACTATTCGGGCTTCATGATTTTTTTTTGGGTGGGTGGGGGGGGATGCCCCATGAGCTTCAAATTGAGCAAGTTGGAGCCTTAAAAAAATGAAAAAAAGGACAGACCAGGGAATTAAAGAACAAATATTGAAGTTATGAACCCCACTCCACAACAAGCCATCACTTCAACCTTATCCCCTATATACTCATACAGTGAAGTTTACATTCTAGTAATCAACTCAATTATTTAGAGTAGTATTTTTTTATTTTAAAAGAATGGAAAGTGTGGGCTTATAGGTTATGGCCTTTTTCGGACAAAAAAATTTGAATTTTAAAACATTTACATGACAAATTGAAGTTATTAATTTTAAAATTATTCTAAGAAAATTGCACCCAACAAGAAATCTCATTACAGAAGATAATTATAGCTCATGACTTTAAAAATGATTTTTTTCTTGAAGTATTTTTTCAAAACCGATTTAAAATCAAGGTTTTCTATCCAAATTTTTTCAATGTGAAGCGTTTAATTATAGTTTTGAAAAAAATGAAGAGGGAGGGAAGTCATGCATGGACATTTGCAATTTATTTTTTTTGGACATCTTTTATGTATTTATGTATTTTTTACACCAAACAATACTTCTCTTAAGTTGCTTATATTAGTTATGTCAAATTCTCCAATTACACATAATTATATGTCCTTTTTTGGAAATACCAGCATTTAATTATAAATCCAAATGAACCAAAAAAGATACATGGTAATATGTGATTAGAGAACTTAATATAATAGATATAAGTAACTTAATTAAGTTTATTCATATATATATTGTATGAAATTTAAGGAAGATTGTAATATTTTATAAATTATCAATAAGATCACTCATACCGAATTTTTCTAAAATGACATATATTTTAATTAAACATAGCTTAAAAATGTGCGGTGGCAATTGAATTAAGTAAAAGATATTTAATACTTTTTAAAACAATGAAAGAAATAATGTTAATTTTTTAATTTTATAGAACGCAATGCGGCTTGAATATAAATTTATGAAAAATAAGTAATTGACATATTTAATTTCTCTAACGAGATTGTCCCTATCTCCACCAGTATTTATAATGTTATTACCCATTTATCCTTCGCATCCAAACCTCAATTATTTGCCACTTGTCCAACGTGAAATCTAGGAGTAGGACTGTAGGACCCATGTTACCCAGATTTATCATTATCATTTGTTAGTTGGGAACATTTTATTTTTAGTAAGTAATATCCTTATTAGTTATTAGGCATTCTTCAAGTGGCGATTAAATAATTGCGTTTTATTTTCTGGTTAGTAGTTGAAATCTTGGTCCCATTTACATGGTACATATATGATTCCCACCAACGTTGTGCTCAATTAATAAAGTTGCCACCTAATCTTCGAGTTTTAATACTTACGTTATACAAATGACATGTTTTATTTTTAAAATATTATTATGTAATTATAAATCTACATGAAAAAATAGACGACCATATATAATTGGAAAATTTAACTTATAAATATGTGAGATTTTTTTAACAAATAGATATGAAGTACTTGATCTAGCGACTTTCTTTTGAAAAGAAAAAAGTGAGAGAGAGAGAGACTTTCTTGCAAATTTTTGATAAAATATTTGTTTATTTTTAAAGTAAGCCAAGAATGCAAACAATATTCTATTAGGCAGATGTGCCTAATATTTAACGAAAATTAAAAAAACAATATAATTTTTATAGTTAGAGAATAATATGATTTTTTTTTATATTTTAAAATATTTATAGATACTATTAATTTGAAAAAAACTTTAATTGATTGATTGATTGAAACCTTTAATGAGTGTGGCGTGCATATGATACAGCTAATCAATAATCCTAGTTAAGAAGATAGCTTGCAAATCATTATCATCACCGCCGCCCTGAGTTTTAAAAAATTTCTATGATTTACAAATTTTATTAAAAATCAATAAATAAATAATGAATCAAATAAAATTTGGATCGTGCATTTTTTCTTTGAAAAGAAAATATATGAGACACAACATTGCCAACAAAACTTAGGGAAAAAAAAATGTTATGAGTAGTCCTCAAGCTATATGCATGATCGACGTATGTAGATTCCCGTAATTAAATTAAAGCATATTTGCTGGGGCCAAACTTATTTGTTATTATTTTCATTTTCAAATATTATTACTTTATTTCTATTAATTTTTGTTCTTGTTAGCCGTAAGTGGTGGGAATTATAAAGTACTAGGTGTGTTTGATTTTTTTTTTTTATTTTGTTGTTGGCAGTTGGAATCTCGGTCCCATATAAATGATTATTCCCACAACTGCATGCGAATAATGAGATTTGTGCTCAATATTATCAGCAAAATTGCCAGCAAATAAATTAATTAAGAAGTTTAATTATTAAAGTTTGTCCATAATATAATTGTCTGATTTTAAAATAGGCAAAGACGGCAAATAAACATCATTACCACCCTGGCCATTTTAAAGAACTACTGCTGAAATTTATATTGTTTAAATAAATTGAATAAAGAATGATTGAAAAGGGAAGGAAAGAAGTCCAATCACGTTATCATAAAAAAAAAGTTCAATCATTTTGTTAAGAATTATAGATGTCATATAAAAATAAAATCATACCTCACCATTCATTTATTATTTATCAGTGTCACATCGATTAATTTCAGCAATTTTGTTAGATGAATGTTAGTCAAATTATACATAAACTCAGAGAAACAGTTATGAACATCATAATTTTTATCTGGATAATATCTAAATCAAATTCCTTACTATGTAGTCTATTTTATAAGCTTCAATTTAGAAATTGTCTTAACATTTAATATTTTTTTTATTTTTACCCTTAATTATTTATTCTCTTCACATTTCTCCATACAGTTTCTTTCATAATTTTTCTTATGTATTATAAAGGTATATTTAGAAACAAAATTATATTTCTAACCTATTTATTGCTTCTAACTAATTTTAACTAATAGTTTGTTATTCATTAATTAGTTATTTAAAGTTTATAATAAGAACATAAGGAAGTAGTATTTAATTACAAATCTAAACGAACAAAAAAGACATGCGACTATATGTGATTGGAGAACTTGACACAATAAACATAAAGAATCTGACCTAAGTTTTTTTTTATTTTTATGTTGATAGTAGAAAATTTTTTATTTCATTTTTTTAAATCTCTTTTTTTATTTTAAATTTTATGGTAACTTACATATAATTTTAGTTAGCATAGAAAAGAAAAGAATTAGTTTTCTCCAAATAAAATGTGTTACTACAAATAATTGTTGTTCCTTAAAGGGCATGCCCTTTAATGCCATTTTAAAAAATTATTTAAATATCCACATACTATAAATACTTCTAATTATTAGGCCAGACTATTCATGAATTAAAAAATTACATATCATGTATTCTTTTGGTCTTATTTAATATTTATAAGGTACTCTCAGCATGTTTTATACAGACTAAGAGAAATCTTAAACTTTATTAACTCTCATTTAAAATTTAATAACGTTTCAACTTTATCCTTATTTAATATACGTTATACTCCCTCTGTTCCTTATTATAAGAGACAAATAACCAAATTACGTTGATAAAAAAAACAATTAAAATTAGTTAAAGACAATTAATGTGTAAAAAATATAATGTTTTTTTCCAACAATGCCCCCATTAATAAGGAGAGAGAGTATGAGAGAGAACAATTAAATTATTAAAAGAAAGAGAAGTGGGAGGAAGAGAGAGTATGAGTTAGTGACAAAATAAATAGGGGTAAAATAGGAAATCAATACAAAAAAATAGAGACAACTTTTAAATGTCTCTTATATATGAGAACATGCCATAAGCATCAAATGTCTCTTATAATAAGGAACGGAGAGAGTATTTCATATAAACAAAGTCAACACAATAATAAACAATGGTTAAAATTGTATATTCATACAACAAATTTTTTTCAATGCCTTATAAATAGGACAAAAAAAACTTCTCTCTTTGTCCTATAAGTAAGACAAGAGGAGTAGTTCTTTTTTTAATACGTATAATACTCCTCCGGTCTTTAATATAGGATCCAATTAGTGAGTTGGTTTTAATCCTAAATATAAGACCCATTTCTCATATTTATCAATTTTCTCTAAATTACCCCTATAGATATTCCCTCAACTATAATCAAGTAGAAGAGATAGAGGGAGTATTAAAAAATATGTAACTTTTCTTATAATTAACTAATTTACCTAATTTTCTTAATCTAATTAAATTAGTTAAATGAATTTTATATTAAGGACCGGAGGAGTATAACAAAAGGTGGCTAATTCACTGCCCGGGGGGGATCAACACCACGTGTGAATCTTTTTGGACAAGGAACGTTCTTGGAGCCTAAGGAAACCAACGAAATCAGCTTCCATATGAGTCATCGCGGAAAACTTCTTTCATGTTTCCAGTACAGTCTTTTTATTTTGAATTTTCCAAACTAATATCTTCAAATATAACGCTTACCTGTCACAGACACTTGCCCCCCAGCTCCAGGTGCTTGGAGCCGAAGTGAAGTAACGAACTCAGCTTCGTGACATATCGCCATGCGTACCTGTGAATTCACCCACCCCGTATATAATACTCACAAAAGTCAAATCGTTTTAATTAATTAGATTAAAAACAAACTAAATTTCAAATTTAAATAAATACTATATAAATTTTTTATTCTTTAAAATTTAAAAAATACTTTTTCTAAGTGCTTTCAAACTCCTCCTCCTAATAATAATAATAATAATAATAATATACCCTTACATATTTTTAAGGAGATTAATTTCCGCAATTTTGTGAAAAAAGTGAGGAGCATAATTCTCAAATCCTGTCACATGCACAAATTTCCAGATAAGTGAATCTGCCAATTACATTCCCACACACTACCCTCACTGACTCATCGTCATCTTCATCGTCATCGATGATTCAATTTGTATCTGGACTGAAAACTTTTACTGGGCCCCACATGGCTCTCTCCTCCCTCCTTCCTTAGCCGTCGCCTTCCCGCCCCCTCCCTTCTCGTATTTATATTCTCCTCCCCGCACTCTCCTTCCCAGTTTCCTCACTCCTCAACTCCTCTCCTCGTCCGCCATCAAATGGCTCTCGTCCGCGATCGCCGCCACCTCAACCTACGTCTCCCTCTGCCGGAGCCCTCCGAGCGCCGACCTCGCTTCCCGCTTCCCCTTCCACCCTCCTCTATTTCCTCTAACAATTCCGTCGCTGCCGATATTGCCCCTAACGATCTCGAAAAGCTTCAGGTCCTCGGCCACGGCAACGGAGGAACTGTCTATAAGGTCCGTCACAAGCGCACCTCCGTCGTCTATGCTCTCAAGGTCGTCCACAGCGACTCCGACCCCATGACCCGACGCCAAGTCAGGAGGGAGATGGATATCCTCCGCCGGACCGATTCGCCTTATGTCGTGCGCTGTCACGGGTTCTTCGAGAAGCCTTCTGGAGATGTGGCGATTGTCATGGAGTATATGGATTTGGGAACACTAGACACCTTGTTGAAAAGGAACGGTACGTTTTCAGAAGCCCAACTCGCGGGGGTGGCGCGTCAGGTTTTAAACGGGCTGAGCTATCTCCACGCGCACAAGATTGTTCACCGCGATATTAAGCCCTCTAATCTCTTGGTGAATCAGAAAATGGAAGTGAAAATCGGTGATTTCGGAGTGAGCAAGGTTATGTGCCGCACACTGGACGCGTGCAATTCATACGTCGGGACCTGCGCGTACATGAGCCCGGAGCGATTCGACCCGGATACGTACGGCGGGAATTATAACGGGTATTCGGGCGACATATGGAGCCTGGGTCTGACCCTGTTCGAACTGTACGTGGGTCACTTCCCGTTTCTCCCGGCGGGTCAGAGACCCGATTGGGCGACCCTGATGTGCGCGATTTGCTTCGGAGACCCGCCAAGCTTGCCGGTGCAGGCCTCAAAAGAGTTTCGGAGCTTCATAGATTGTTGCCTGAAGAAAGAGTCGAGCGAGAGGTGGAGTGCCTCTCAGCTCTTGAATCATCCGTTTCTGTCGAAGAAGTTGGGAAAATGTTAGCCGTATGTGTCCGGGTTTTAGATATCCGATCGGGTAGGACCCGGATTTTGTGAGTTTAGGTGTAATAATAACTGTAGATACCGTCGGGATTCTATTTTGCTACTCCCTCGGGTAGAAACCGTCATGATTTGCCTCAAAGAAGACAAAAATAGAGGTTGCATCATTCCCTGTGTAGATTCGGTTCTCTTCCGCTTTAAAAGAGTACTACCTCCCGTCCTTAATATAAGATCCCGTTTGACTTTTAGTTTGGTTCTAATTATAAGACTCCAATCCATTTTGTCTCTCATATTTATGTATTTTTTTCCAAGATAATCCTTCTAATAATGATAGTTCTAGCCAATATACTTAATTAGCAAAGATATTTTAGAAATGACAACACTTATTTATTACAAATAACTAACTTAACTTACTTCCTTAATTTTCTCAAATTAGTCAACTGGGTCTTATAATTAGGATCGGAGATAATAATTACATCATGGAACAACCCCGCAATAATGCTGCTCAGAATAACCATGATGCTACCTCAGTCACTATTGTTCCAACAGTAGTTCCTATTCCTAGGCCATTCCCTGACACTTCAAAAATAGAGACATTTGATGGAAGGAATTTCAGGCAGTGGCAGGAGCGAGTTTACTCTGTCCTTGACATGCATGGAGTAGCTGTTGCTCTTACTCATTCCGAACCAACCCCGGATGCTGATCAAGCCTAGAAAGATATCTGGACACATGCTAATAAGGTTTGCAGACACACTCTTATCAGCACTTTATCTAACGATCTGTTCGATGTGTACTGTGTCTATAAGGAAGCACACAAAATATGGGAATCTCTTATCCTTAAGTACACTGTCGATGATGCTGGGAAGCAAAAATTTATGGTGGGGAATTTCTACAAATGGGAGATGACTGAAGAGAAAGATATCAAGCTTCAAATTAACGAGTACTACAAATTGTTGGAGGAGCTTCGTGCTGAGAAGATTAACTTACTAGATGAGTTCGTAGCTGGCATACTGATTGAAAATCTGCCAAAGACATGGAGTGACTATAAACAACAATTAAAGCACAAACAGAAGCAGTTGTCCCGGTCAGATCTAATTACCCACATAATAATTGAAGACATAAACAGAAAGGCTATACAAGTTGTGAAAGGAAAGGAAAGGAAATAACTGCCAAAGCAAACCTGGCGGAATCAAAACTGCGCTCCAAGAGGTATTACCCCAAAAACAAAAATAATAAAAATAAGAAATTTGATTACAAATCCAAGGACTCTAACCCCAAATTCAAAAAGAAAGGCAATTGTTTTGTCTGTGGAAAGCCAGGGCACTATGTGGCGCAATGCAGAAAAAGGGCTACTCAACAAGGTGATAATCCTCCTAAGCCAAATGAGAATTTGGTTGAAGGAGATGATGGCAGTGATGATGAAGTCATAGCTGCAATGGTCTCTCAAGCCCTCATTGTGACTGATGTGAAGAAATGGGTAGTGGATTCAGGAGCCACTAAGCATATTTGTGCAAACAGAGAGATGTTTACCTCCTTTGAAGAAGGGGAAGACCACATCTACCTTGCCAATTCTCGAACTGCTAAGGTTCAAGGAAAAGGAAAAGTGGTACTGAAACTCACATCAGGAAAGACCCTAGCATTGAATGACGTTCTGTATGTCCCTGATGTTAGGGCAAACTTAGTCTCTGTGGCATTGCTTGGGAAAGCTAGGGTTAGAGTGTCGTTTGAGTCTAACAAGGTTGTCATGACTAAGAACAATGTTCTTATTGGGAAGGGATATTGTAATCAGGGTCTATTTGTTTTAAGTGTTGCTGAAATTGATGAAAATGCATCTTCTTCTGCTCACTTATTGATTCTTTTGATATATGGCATGCTAGATTAGGACATGCTCATAAATCATATATAAAGAGATTGCAAAATCTTGAGTTAATTCATAGAATTAAAAGTAATGAGTTTAACAAATGTGAAGTTTGTGCAAAAACTAAATTAACTAAGAAGCCACATTTTTCTACTCAAAGAGAAACTAAATTGTTATCTTTAATTCATACTGATTTAGGGGATTTAAAACAAGTTCAAACTAGAGGAGGCAAAAGATATTATATCACTTTTATTGATGATTTTTCAAGATATACTAGAGTATATTTATTGAGAAATAAAGATGAAGCTTTTGAAATATTTCTTTTATATAAAGCAGAAGTAGAAAATCAATTGAATAAAAAAATTAAACGAGTTAGGTCAGATAGAGGAGGAGATTATTTATTATTAAATGATTTTTGTGAAAAAGAGGGTATAATCCATGAAGTAACTCTTCCTTATTCACCTGAATCTAATGGTATAGCAGAAAGGAAAAATAGAACTTTAAAAGAAATGATGAATGCTTTGCTTGTGAGTTCTGATGCACCTGATAATTTATGGGGTGAAGCTTTATTGTCTGCTTGTTTTTCACAAAACAGAATACCCCATACGAAAACAAAAAAGATACCCTATGAATTATGGAAAGGATTTGTGCCTAACCTTAAATATTTAAAAGTGTGGGGGTGTCTTGCAAAAGTTTTATTACCTGATTCTAAAAAGAGAAAGATTGGTTCTAAAACTTCTGATTGCATGTTTATTGGTTACGCTAAAAAAAGTGCTGATTATCGTTTTCTAGTTTTGAAAAGTGATATTTTGGATCCTAATACGATTGTTGAAACAAAAGATGCAGAATTTTTTGAACATATATTTCCTTTGAAAGTTGAGCGTCTGCCTAAGAGATTTGAAAACTCTTCTTTTGAAAAAGCTTCAAATGATGGTTTGAGTGAGAATTTAAGGAGAAGTAAAAGATAAAGAAAAGAAGCATCTTTTGGAGATGATTTTTATACTTATTTAGTACAAGGTGATCTGAAAAATTTTCATGAAGCTATTTCTTCTCCGGATTCTCAGTTTTGGAAAGAAGCTATTAAAGCTAAAATAGATTCTTTAAATCAAAATAAAAAATGGATTTTGGTTGACTTGCCTTCGGGAGCAAAACCTATTGGGTGAAAATGGGTTTTTAGGAAAAAAATATTTTCCAGATGGGTCAATTGATAAATACAAGGCTAGATTAGCTAAAGATTTTACTCAAAAAGAAAACGTTGATTATTTTGATACATTTTCTCCCATGACTAGGATTTTTTCTGTTAGAATCTTGATTGCTTTAGCTTCGATCCACAAGCTTTTTATTTACCAAATGGATGTTAAAACAGCCTTTTTAAATGGTGATTGAGAAGAAGAAATTTATATGACCCAACCTGAGGGGTGTATAGTTTCTGGACAAGAAAACAAAGTTTGCAAACTTGTTAAGTCTTTATATGGCTTGAAACAAGTGCCTAAACAATGGCATGAAAAGCTAGACCAAGTTTTGTTGAGTGGTGGCTTCTCTACTGTTGAAGTAGAACGTTGTGCTTATACAAAACTTATAAATGGTGATTGCATGATTATTTGGTTATATATGGATGACATGCTTATTGTTGGTACTAGCATGAATGTTGTGTGTGAGACAAAATGTTTTCTTGCTTCAAATTTTGACATGAAAGATCTGGGCGAAGCAAAGGTCATATTGGACGTAAAATCATAAGGAATAAACGTGGTATCCTACTTTCTCAAGAACACTATGTTGAGAAAATCTTGAGAAAGTTTGAACACTATGATGTTTCTCCTGTTAGCACTCTTTATGATTCCAATATGTATTTAACAAAACATAAAGGAGATCCAGTTGCTCAATCTAGATATTCACAGATTATTGGGAGTCTGCTGTATTTAATGAACTATACCAGGCCGACATAGCTTATGCTATGTGTAGGTTGAGCAGATACACTCACTGCCCAAGCAGTAAGCATTGGGAGGCTCTGTTGAGGGTATTGAGTTACTTAGGAGGTACCATGAATTATGGTATATTATATAGTGGATTTCCCGCTGTATTAGAAGGATACAGTGATGCCAGCTGAGTTTCAGACTCAGATGAGACAAAATCCACTAGTGGCTATATTTTCAATCTTGGTGGTGGTGCAGTAACATAGCCAGAAAATGCCATGCTCATGACCAATCATATATAGTCAGAATTGTTCTTTAAAATGGTGTTTTTATTCCTTAAAAGGGGGGGGGAATATATGATTATATACTACTATGATATTGTCAGCTAAAATGAGTATTTCTTGTGCTGTAAACAGCAGCAAAGCGTCCGGTCAAAAAAAAAAAAAAAAAAAAAAACAGCAGCAAAGCGAACACGTGTCGGTTAACAGGAGAGGGCGGTCGGAAAAAAAGGAAGGCAAGGAAAAAAGAATGCGGTGGAGAAATGAAATGTGGTGATTGAGTTAAAACGTGACGGTCGTCGTCTTCAATCAAATTGAACTATATTTTTTTATTAATATAATATAACTATTTGTATTTTATTATATGTAAAAGGGGGGAATATAAATATATAATGAATATAGATATAGATTTACGAGGCATGTAAATACATGTTTAAATAGAAATCAAATTATAATTCTAAAAATAATTTTATAATGTACGAAATAAATATATGAAAAATTTATCTTAATTTATAAAAAAAATGTTATTTTAGAAACACTCCAACATGTGAATAATATAATTAAGAAGTGCACAGCAGAAGTGAAGGAGGAGGCAGAAGAAAAGAGAGAAGTAGAGAACAATGAGAGGGATCGTGAAAAATGAAAAGAGGGAGGTGGAACGTGGGAAGGAAGGAGGGGAGGGGCGTGAGGGGTGGCGCAAATAGATTCCTTGAGAAACACCAAAGCATATGGAAGGAGACAGACACGTGACACATGGGAAGAAGCAGCCAAAGGCAGGGGTGAACCTCACAGGATGGTGCGTGTGTCACGCTGATGCATGAATCTGCCACCCTTCTCCCTCTTTGCTTCACGTCACTTTCTTCCTTCCTTTATCCCTTATCCCCCACGGGCCCCACCTCCCCCACTCACGCCTCACGCTTCGCCCCCACAAGTCCCTCTCATTAATTCCATTTTCGTTACTATCTCTGGTACTTAATATAAAATTTTATTTATATTTTATTTTGATTCTAAATATAATATTTTAATCTATTTTATCTCTCATATTTATATATTTTTTCACAGTAGTCCTTCTAACAATAGTAGTTTTAATTAATATACTTGATTAGCAAGAATATTTTAGAAAAGATATCTATTTATTGCAAATTTTTATAATTCATAACATTGTAAGTTTGAATTCTGCTATGACTATTAGGATCTTATTGACAGATAATCTAATCTATAAGTATTTCAATAAATATTTTTTGAACTTAGAACATGTCCTGATTCTACTAAGTTCTCGAGATTTAAGTCACCTACAATTTCATGGGAAATTAAAATCGGAACCTACTTGCCCCCACTCTGGGCCTGTGGCCCCTGTCTCTTCCTTCAATGTTGTGGGCCTCGCTTAGGCCCAAGACCATATTCCCCATCCCACATCTGCTTCTAGCTGCTTTTATATGAGGCCTTTCGTTTGCCCAAAAAAAAAATGAGGCCTTTCGAATTGATTATTTCAGTGGCTTAAGTGATGATGAGTCTCTCATTTGAAGGTTCTTTAATTCAACAATAATCAATTACTAATCAGCTAAATATGCTTCTCAAATGACTTCGTAAAATGTAGAAATATTCTTAACAAACTAGCACGAAGCTTGTAGTATTTGATTACGTGACCGGTTCTGATTAAGAGCCAGCATTGACGGAGCTACTATGGTTCTTGATGTGGCTATGCAATTGGTTAGGTATTGTATGAACAAAACTAAGAAAAATTGGCTATCGAAAATAAAAATTAATCACTAAATATTATAATTTGTATGCATTCGTATATCTCCATGGGTTTTTTTTTTTCCTGAGCATTCTCTCCCTTTTGTTGTTTTTTTTTTCCAATTGTTCTTTTAGAGTTATTTAAAATTGGATACTAATAATAAAAATTGTTTGTTAGATTTTAGATTATGTTAAAAAAATATATGTTTTTTTGTGTGGTGAAAACAAGGTCAAAGTGTCAAACAACACATGTCGCTATCAGAATTGAGAATTAGCCGAATTTTATATTGGGCAAGCTTTGTAATTTCGCTTTGAAATAATTTTCAGACATGTCATGATGCAAGTTCAGGTGTCTGCCCATTTTCCATGATTAGTTTTGCTGATCAAAATTAAATCTTTCATTCTCAATGACGTTACGTTCATCCTAAACAAATCTATAAATCCAGCGATTTTCACCTTCATAAAAACGCATATTAGATGAAAATAGAGGTTGAGAAAGAAAACAAATAAAAATAGATATTGCACCTTTAATTTAAAATAGTCAAAATTTGGAACCATAGATAATAAAAAAAGTAGACATTAAAAATAAAAAACTTTCTTATTAAAAAGATGCTCATTCCTTCGGTCGGTGGCCTCCAGCCTGTCACCTATACCCCATTCTATGCGATTATTTAATTAAAGGTTTAATTTATTCTCTTTTTATACCTTCTCTTTCTTATTTGTCGCTTATAAATAAGGATATGTTTAAAAAAAATTGTTTATTACATATTTATTATTTAAAACTAATTTTAATTATTTTTTTAAATCGTGCAATTTAATTATTAGATTTTTATAAAAAAAAAATACTGAAGGGAGTATTGCATTACGCGATTTAGGGAAATATGTAAGGTTAACTAAATAATAAATTTGTAGGAAATAATTTATTTTTAAGTATGTACTTATTTATAAAGAGAAATAGAGTAGCAATGAGAAAAAGTATGTAATAGAATATAATATGCCAAGTTACCAATTTTTAAGTTAATGTCATCTATAAAATTAATTAGAAAAAAAGGTAAAAAAACATACAACTCCAGTTATAATTTTAGAAAAAGCACCAAGGCAATTTAAATTTCACGCTCTGATAGAAAAAAGACAGGAGGGAGTACTAAATTACCAGTAAGTATCTTTCTATATACGATCAACAATGATTTATATATATTAAAAATACAAAGAAACTATTTTATTTTAGACTTTATTTTTATATATGTATAATAAAATCCAAAACAATAAAAAAAAATACTATTTAGTTTTTTTAATTGGGTTTCACCTTCAATTTTTTCACTGTGAATCCCTTGTTATTCTTTGTCTCTGTCGTATGATTTTTTTTTAAAGTACTATTGAGGCAACTATTTATCTGCTGTAATTTTGTTGAACAAATTTACCCATAATTTAATTATTTCCCATCAGAAGGAAGGACACACAACCATCACACACCGGATTTAATTCCACATCCTCTTCCATTATGGGTGCCAGTTGAACATTCTCAGCTTCATCTCTTATATACTTCTCTTAAAGCCTATTTTATAGTATAAATTATACTATCAAATAAAGTTTATATTTAGAATCGGATGAGTAATTGATATTGATGATGGATAACCTCTTAAGAAATCCTCCATCTTTAGGAATGATTCTCCATATAAATTGGGTGTAGTACATCATCTTTTAATATCAGAATTAGTTAACTAATTTGAATAGATTAATAAGATTATTTAAATTAGTTATTTGTAATAAATATGTACTGTATTTTCTAAAATACCCTTACTAATCATGTGTATTAGTTAGAATTACCATTTGATGAAACTTTCAACATATACAATTACTACAAATACTTTCTTGGACAAAAATGGATAAATATAAAAAAAATAAATAGATTAGGATTTTATTTTAAGACCAAAGTGAATATCAAACTAACTTTTATATTAATGACTGAAGGTAGTAAATTGTTTGAGTAAATTTTTTAACCTCTTACTCGTATATTTTGTTATTAATTATTATGTCACACATACATTTTTTTTATTCTTAACATTTCTTTTCATTGACAAAAATATAATCTTCCGGTCCTTAATATAAGACCTATTTAACCAATTTAATTATATTAAGAAAGTTAGGTAAGTTAGTTAATTATAAAAAATATCATATGTTTTTTTAAAATACTATAATCATCTTTCTTAATATTCTTTATCTCTTCTACTTGATCATAATTGGGAGAATATCCACATAAATAATTTAAAAAAAATTGATAAATATAAAAAATAAATCTTATATTTAAGATTAAAATCAATTCAATAATTATATTCTATATTAAGGAGCGGAGGAGTATATGAAAAATATAAAACAAGTGTAGGCCAAAACTTATTTGCACAGATGAAAATCACGACCACTCGAACTTTAATAGGTGGTTTATAAGCTTTGTACTGTGGTGCTGACTTTTTTCTCGTAAAATGGTGTTGACTTGTTAACCATTTAAATAAGGATAAATATGCGTTTAATACTTTCATTCTAACACCCTAAACTATTTAATGATATATAATTTTATTCCCAAACTAATAAAAATAGAACAATTTCACCCCATTTAACAGGTCCTCTTAACTCCGTTTGCTGAGCAACAGATAGGCATTTCTGTTTCTTTTTTTAATTTAATAATGACACGTACTGCGTTGCCGCCACACCTTGTGCATCGCCGGCAAATGTGCTGCACTCTCTTCATCATTTGTGCTGTGCCTAGCCTCTCCATTCTCACATTATGTTTCTTAGTAAGTAATTTCATTAGATTCAAATGGCTTTACAACCAGAGATGGAGCGTCCCGCAACTCTTTCAATCTTTGCTTTGCCACTTTCCAGATTTCCTCTCTTTCCTCTCTACAACTTTTATCTCTCTCTTTCCTCTCTCCCCTTCTCTCTCCCACGTCTCCATCTCTAACGTCTATAGAAACACAATCTTATGATGAAAACCTTCACCCCCAATTTCCCCTCCCAATTCTGGGTTTTCACCTTCCGACCGACAGGTTGGGGCTGCCACAATGCAGTACTATCAGTATTTGAAAAAAAAAAAAAAGTCCATATGTCAATTAGCAAACGGTGTTAAAAGTAATGTGTTAAGTTGGATGGAATAACTCTATTTTTATTAGGTCGGGAATAAAATTGTATTACTAAATAGTTTAGGGTATTAAATGCATCTCTAAAAGTAAATGAGGGTGCTGGTTACATTTTGCGGTTTTGCCCTTTAAATACAGTAGTTAAATTAATTATTTATAATAAATATAAATTAATTTTTTTAAAAATATTTTTTAATTATAATTATTCTTGGATATAAAATTCTCTCAGAGAATGAATTATTAGGTGCAGGAGGCTACTGCATTATTTTGACCATTTTATTTTTGATGAATGATGATTTTATAGGAGGAATTTCCTTCCATACAAAGCGGATGAGAAAGCTGATGCGTTTGGATAACGGATATCGAGAAGGAAATGATTTTCAAGGACTCTTGTTCACCCCGGTGAAAATCGTCCTGTGTTGTTTTCCGTTCCTCGCTCCCACAATTTCTTGTTCATACAAAAGTCCTAATTAAGATACCAGAAGGAACAATTTTAATTTTTTCCTTTTCAATTCGGTCTCAGTCACTGTCACATGCAAGTTCAACCCTTTAGGGTAATTGTATAGATTATCTCGAGATTTCCTCCCACAATCAACCAAGTGCTACGGACGCAAACGATTCCTCCATTATTTTACGTTTTCTGCTTCCAAAAGTCATCAAGAACATTACACTCAGATTCAGTTTTCTTCTCCACCACCTCCACCTCCTCCTCCTCCTCCTCCTCCTTATTCTTCCTCACTTCTGAGCTTTTTGCAGAAAGTGATGGCATCTCTCAGCTTCAGCGGGACCCACATCAAAACTGGGCGCTCTTCTGCTTCTGGGTTTGGCTTATCTCGTCGTCCCACAAGTCTGATTCGTCCTAGTAGAGGTGGATTTAAGGTTTATGCTTCGGAGACTCAGGCAGAACCAGATCTTAGTGTTAAAGTTAACGGATTACACATGCCCAATCCTTTTGTAATTGGGTCGGGTCCACCGGGGACCAACTATACGGTCATGAAAAGGGCCTTTGACGAAGGCTGGGGGCGTGATCGCCAAAACTGTAAGATTTCGTTTATAATATACTACGCACCCTGCATTATGTCTCTACTTATTTCGTTTTTCAGTAAAACTAAACTAACAATCATAATCATGGAGATCTGACATCTGGAAAGTTACAGTAAATTTGTGTTCAAGGAACACCGGTGGCTGAAACTTAGTACTGTATATTATGTAATCTATCCTGATCATCTAACTGTTCTTAGCTTAAAAATCAAGAAAGTTTTCTACTGTTGTGATCTGTGCTGTCAAACTTGGATGTCAAATACTTTGCTTGACTGGGACATGGACAGTCAATTGTCTGAAGATTCTTCCGTTCTCTCCGTGATTCTATCAGGACTTTGTTAGGCTTTGTTCTTTCTGAATTGATATAATCTAAGCCGCTTTTGGTCTTAGGGAGTTCTTCATAATCCACTGTCTGCTTTTTTATTAGTTGGGGTTACCTACTCGTTCATCAGATTTTTCCTCCTTGAACCTTGAAACACGGAGGATTCTGCTTCTAATATGCAGATTTTTGACTTGATCCAGAATGAGCCTTGGGATTTTCTCCAAGATTTCCCCAAAACTTTGGGTTTCTTTTCATTTCATAGAGGAAATGGAGTTTGAGTGGGATGAAATGGAATATTTCGTTCCTTTCCATCGAGTCACGTGTCCAGTTGCACAAGACAAAATTTTGAGGCATAGGCAACGTGGTGGCAGAGACATAAATACTGCTTATGATTATGGTGCTAAAATGAACAACTTTAATTTGTATCTTCATGGCATGCAATGATATGCATTTTGGCCCTCAGCCGGTGACCACTCCTTGTATCTTTTAGGCAATCAAGCTTTATAGTTGACGTGGGTTTATTGGGATCGGGACTGTAGGACAATTCTTTTTTTTTTTATTTTTAAAAGGCTGTCCACAGGTAAGTTGCTATTGATGTAAATACAGGAGTCATTTGAAATCAGAGCTGAGAAGATATTAAAGCTGTCTTTTCAAGCTATATATACTCTGTTAATTTTTGGATCCATGGCTAAGCTGTTTGTCCAAAAAAATGGAGGAAGTTTTTTCTTCTCAGTATTTGTTTTAGTTGTATTATATTTGTGAATTTTGGATGAATGGTCTGTTAAATCCGTCAATAATTGTAATTTGTTCATCATTCTAAATACACCAGAAAGCGAATGGTACAAACATTGTATATGTGCATATAGCCTAAGACAATCTTAGCATGTTAATTTCTGAATCTGTAGCAGTTAGCAGGTCATGCTGCTTTCCTGTAAAAACATATCATTGTTTGTTTTCCTTGTCATTTTCTTCAGATTCCCCACTTTTTGCGCCTCTTTATTGGCATTAAACTACTCTGAGGCATTAAACTACTTGATGATAGTTAGGTGGAGTAACACGAGGAAATTCACAATGATTTGCTGTCAAGAATTTGATGTTTGCTAAATTTGGTGATGGCTATTTTACATGAAGTCCAAGGATTTGGTTGTTGATAAAGACAATGATGTTGTGCCATTCATGTGGCCAGCCCTACCTAGTGGAACAAGGCTTGTTATTTTACATGAAGGTTGACTTTTACTGGAGTGCAAGCAAAATGTTTTATAGTTTAGCAGTATCTGATTAAGAAAGGCCTGTTCATCATTCATCTAATTAAAACTTATATACTTTTTAACATGTTTATCGGGGATTTGCTTGGCACCAAAAATTTTGGTGAGGTCAATGTTTTGTTGGTTTAATTTTTAATTATTATTATTTTCCCTTTATAGACTTGCTCCACAAATAATCTCTGTACCTATACACCACAAGTGCACCTGGGTACTTTTTTCTTTAATTTCATTGTTTACCATCATTTTTAGACTACATGAACAAAAGATCACTTTGCAGTGAAATTTCTCAAATCTCCCCATGGCAAAAATATTCTCTTTCTGGTATTAGTAATTCTGATGTAGTCAATTTAGATGCAACTGATGCTTTGTATCCCACTTAAAAGGTGACCATGAAATTTGATGCCATTCTTCTGCTAGGTGTCACTTGATGCAGCAAAAGTCATTAATGTTACACCTCGATATGCCCGACTACGGGCAGGCGCAAATGGTTCTGCCAAAGGAGAAATTATTGGGTGGGAGAACATAGAACTTATCAGTGACCGTCCTCTTGAAACTATGTTGAAAGAATTTAAGCAATTAAAGGAAGAGTACCCAGACAGAATTCTCATTGCTTCAATCATGGAGGAGTACGATAAATCTGCCTGGCAGGAGCTTATCGATCGTGTTGAGCAAACTGGAGTTGTAAGATGCCTTAATTGGCTAAGTTTGGGAACTTAGAAAATATTTTTGTGGCAAAAATTCTGGCATCTGACTCTTCTGATATTCATGTAGGACGCAATTGAAATAAATTTTTCCTGTCCTCATGGCATGCCAGAACGCAAAATGGGTGCAGCAGTCGGGCAAGATTGTGCGCTTCTGGAAGAGGTTTGTGGGTGGATAAATGAGAAAGCTACAGTTCCTGTTTGGGCTAAGATGACTCCTAACATCCTGATAACATCAGGTTTCCTCTGTAACTTAATTTTAATTGCTCTATGATTGACGTAGATTATCACTCTGGACCATATTAGTTATTGCACTTTGTTGCATATTAGTTTACAGCCAGCAAGAGAGCTCTTAGATCAGGATGCGAGGGAGTATCGGCTATAAATACAATTATGAGTGTCATGGGAATCAATCTCGATACACTACACCCAGAGCCTTGTGTTGAGGGGTTTGTAATCTCAATGGCGAAAGATTTATGATTTCTCCTTTCTCAATTTTATGAACATCTAGTCTAATGCTGTCTAAAATTCACTAGATATTCAACTCCTGGTGGTTATTCTGCAAAGGCAGTTCATCCCATTGCACTGGGGAAGGTGATGAATATTGCAAAAATGATGAAGTCAGAGTTTGACAGTGATAGCTACTCACTGTCCGCGATAGGTGGTGTTGAGAAAGGTGGTGATGCTGCTGAATTTATCCTTCTAGGGGCAAATACTGTTCAGGTATTTATTCATTGTAATATGGGTTATCCTTATCCATGATATATCACTTCAAAAAATTAAGTGAAAACTCAAGGCTTAGTGCAACTTGATGCTTTGTACGACTGAAAAGAACCAGGTCTGGAGTTTCGTTTCAATTGATTCAAATACCTGTGAAGGTTTTGAAATTCATAAGGGCCATTTCTACCTTATCTTTGAACATAGCATTCTTCGATGAAAGTTTTTGATGTTGTTAAGGTTATATTGGATAGCGAGAATTAACGATGATTATCATATGAGTTCTCAAACCGTGTAGGTATGCACTGGGGTTATGATGCATGGCTACGGCCTTGTGAAGAAACTATGTGCTGAGCTTAAAGACTTCATGAAAAAGCATAATTTCACATCCATAGAAGATTTCAGAGGGTATGAACTTCATCTAAGCTGGATTCCAATAGCCTACAAGCTCAGAAGACAAAATTTCTGGAATATTAATTTCATTCATTAACAATCTTTTACCTGATCTGTGTCAAAAAAAAAAAACACACAGGGTCTCTCTCCAGTATTTTACTACCCACACTGACTTGGTAAAGAGACAACAGGAAGCAATTCGACAGAGGAAAGCCATAAGGAAAGGTTTGCAGTCTGATAAAGACTGGACAGGAGATGGTTTCGTGAAGGAGACTGAAAGCATGGTTTCCAACTGAACTATGTAACCAGACAGATCAAGCGTCTTCTTCCTGTATGGTTTGACATAAATAATGGGGCAATGGAGTAAAGTCTCTTGTATTATTCATATTCAATCCATGTTTCTGAGTAATGTGTGAATATTTGTGTACCTTTATCAGAACTACCATTTCCACAGAAGTTCAAAGAAGACAATACACAGCTATCATGGCATTTTCTTTTAGACTTCTGTGGTTCCCTGAACAAAATTGCAAAGTACCACATGAATGTCCAACGAGAACTTTTAGAAGCAATTATACTGTGAATAGGAATTTCTTGAATCAACGTTAATGTTGTGAGTAGGGCCCTAACCATTTTTCTTTAATCAACGTTAATGTTGTGAGTAGAGCTCTAACCATTGAACTGAGATAAAATAACTCATCTCTATCCTCAATTATTTTTGTTCCCAGAGAAGAAAACAAGAAGATGAATAATTCTAACATCTTCCTCCATCACCTGTACGGATTCCGAGTTACGTTAAATGCAATCAAACGATTGAAATTTCACTTCATCAATTCATCTTTTGCGACACTTTTTAACTAGGGAGAATTACATTCAAGTCCCACATAAGAGAAATAATCACTAAAAAGTCCCAAGTAACAACCTGAGCAGCCTAATAACAAGTCTTACAGTGAGAATGACAACCTCTGGGACTTGTTTTTTAATTACTTGGGACCTCATTGTAATTCTCCCTTTTAACTAAGTCACTAATATTATTATGTTTTTTAATTCTTTCATAGTAATGTGCCTAAGTATACTCCCTCCGGTCGTATATATAAACTTAATTTTTGGAGATGGATCTGGTCCAAAATATAAGTTTAATTTTTTAGTTTGTTTGAGTATTTATTACTTTTTCTCTCTCCTATTTTACCCTTAGTTGATTGAATTTAATACTTTCTCTCTCATTCATATTACTCCTATATATTTTTTTCATTATTTTTTCAATTATTATCTCTCGTTTACTCTCTTAATAAATAAAGGCAAATTAGGAAAAATATATTTCTGACCGATTTATTATTTTTAACTAATTTTAACTATTAATTCGTTAAACGTGATTTGGTTATTTGAAACTTATATATAAGACCGGAGGGAGTAGTAAACAAGTTGTCTTTGTCTCTTTTCACTTTTACTCCCATTAAGTATATGCCACATATTATCTCTTTGTAATAAATTTTCACTCATTATCTCTCATATTCTATTTTTGCAAATAAGGGTATAATTAAAAAAAATATCTTATATATTTATTACTCCTCCGGCCTTTAATATAAGACCTATTTAACTAATTTGATTAGATTAAGAAAATTAGGTAAGTTAGTTAATTATAAGAAATATGATATATTTTTTCTAAAATACCATAATCATCTTTTCTAATTCCCTCACTTACTGGATTATAGTTGAGGGAGTATCCATATGAGTAATTTAGAAAAAATTAATAAATATGAGAAATATGTCTTATATTTAGGATTAAAATTAACTTAACAATTAGATCTTATATTAAGGACAGGAGAAGTACTTCTAACTAAATCTAACTAATATTTGAACTGCTTGATCTTTATTGTTGTTTTTTTTTAACAAGGGATGGAGGGAGTATATTATTTGATTCTTAAAAAAATGTTGCCTTCTTAATTTAATCTTTTTATTACAACAATAACAATAAACCTTATCCCACTAGGTGAGGTTGACTACATGAATTATACGATGCCATTATACTCTGTCAGCAACCCAATCCTTAGATATGTTATTGACCAGAAAGTCTCGTTCAATGATCTCATTTAGCGTTCTTCTTGGTCTTCCTCCTCCCCTTTTTATGGGATTCTATACTGTTTGATTTACCCTCCTCATTGGGGCCTTCGATGGCCTTCTCTACATATGTCTAAGCCACCTCACACGATATTCAACCATTTTCTCTTGGATAGGCACCGTATTGACTCTTACTCTGATATTTTCATTTCGAATCTTATCTTTTTTTGTATGACCACACATCCATCTCAACATTCTCATTTCTGCTATCCCAACTTTATGTTCTTATTTTCCCTTTATTGCCCAACATTCACTACTGTACAACATAGCTAGTTTTATAGCAGTTGGATAAAATTTTTCCCTAAGCTTCTCAGGTATCTTCTTATCGCAAATAACTCTGGTAGCCTTCCTTTATTTTAACCAGCCAGCTTGTATTCTATGAGAAATGTCTCCATCAATTTCACCATCCTTATGTACAATAGATCTTAGGTATTTAAACTTTAATACTTGAGGAATGATTTGATCCCTCCATCTTCACCTCCAAATCACCATTGCCTTGCCTCCCCCAAAAGTGCAATGCATATATTTTGCTTTATTCATATTTAAGTGAAAATCTTTTGACTCCAAATTCTTTGTCCATAACTCCAATTTAAAGTTAATCTCTTCTTTTGATTCTGTCATGAGGATTATGTCATCTGCGAAAAGCATGCACTTAGGGATTTTTTCTTGAATAAACTCAGTTAGAATGTCCAGAACAATATTAAACAAGTAAGGAGTCAAAGAAGATCCCTGATATAGGCCAATCTTGATGGGGAAGTCTTTTGTCTTACCTTCAGGTGTTCTTACACTGGTAGTTACTCTTTCATACATATCTTGTATTGTTTTGATATAAGCAATCTGTACACCTTTCTTTTTCAAAGCCTTCCAAAGTATTTCTCTTGGCACGCGATCATAAGCTTTTTTCAAGTCAATAAAAACCATATGTAAATCCCTTCCTTTACTCCTATATTTTTCTATTAACCCTCTTAGTAAATAGATTGCTTCAGTTGTGGATCTCTACACTAGAAATCAAATTGGTTCTCCGAAATAGAAGTCTCTAATCCCAACCTATGTTAAATTACTTTTTCTCACAACTTCATCGCACAGCTCATAAGTTTTATCTCTTTGTAGTTTGCACAATTTTGAATATCTCATTTATTCTTGTAAATAGAAACTAAAATGCTTTTCCTCCATTCATCCGGTATATTCTTGGATCGCAAAATTTCATTAAAAAGCTTGGTTAAACACAGTTCATCCTCCTCACGTAAACATTTTCAAACTTCAATAGGAATACCATTAGGCCCAAAGGCTTTACCATTGCCTATTTTCTTGAGAGCTGCCTTAACCTCTCCAATGCGGATCCTACGGTAAAAAGCCAAATTCTGATTATCTTCACTAATTAGCAGTCCTGTAAGTTTTGAGTCAAACATTCGCTTTCCTCATTAAACAACTTGTAAAAGTAAGCCTCCCATTTGTTCTTAATATCACAATCAGTAACTATAACTTTACCATCTTCATCCTTTATACACTTCATTTGGTTCAAATCTCTCTTTTTTCTCTCTTTTTGCTTTGCAATCTTGTAAATATTTTTTTCCCCCGCCTCTGTTCCTAACTCCTTATAAAAATCCTCATGCGTTTTAGTATGTGCTTTGCTCACTGTTTTCTTCGTCTCTTTTTTAGCCAAACGATACTTTTCCTAGTTTTTTGTACTATTGCACAAATGTATGGCCTTAAAACAATCCTTTTTTTGTTTGACTTTCTCTTGCACACTCTTGTCCCACCACCAAGTTTCTTTATTTTCCTGACCATGACCTTTGGATTCTCCCAAAATTGTTTTAGTGACCATACGAACCCTTGTAGCCATCTCTTCCCACATGATGTTTGCATTTCCCTACAACTCTCAGATCCCTTCCTCCAAAAGCGTCCTTTTGAAAAAATCCCGCTTCTCAACCTTTAATTGCCACCACTTGACCTTGGGATTTACCACTTGATGATACTTTTGTTTGATACTCTTAAAACACACATCAAGAATAAATACTTTATGTTGAGCAGTCACCCCAAGAATCACCTTGCAATTAGTACATAGTCTTTTGTCTGGATTGTTAACAAAAAAGAAATCAATCTGTGATTTTGAGACTCCACTCTTGTACATAATTAAATGCTCTCCTCGCTTCTTAAAACAAGTGTTGACAATCTTGAGATTGTATGCAAGAGAAAAGTTAAGAATAGATTGTCCTCTATTGTTAAGCTCCCCAAAACCAAAACCACCATGAGCCTCAGCAAATTGTCCTGCTTCCTTTCCGACATGTCCATTAAGATCCCCACCAATAAAACTTTTTTCTTCAAGTGGTATGCTTTGAACCAACCCCTCTATATCTTTCCAAAACTTATCTTTAAGGTGTGCCTCTGTCCCAACCTGAGATGCATAGGCATTAATGATATTTATAGTATCCTTTCCGACAATTACTTTTAAAGATATTATTCTGCCCTCAAACCTTTTAACCTCCACCACATTCTTCTTCCATGTTCCATCAACAATGATACCAACACCATTCCTTGTACTCACCTTCTTTGTGTACTAAAGTTTATACCCTCCAAAATCCATGAAAACTTCTTCAACCTGTTTAGTTTCTTGGAGGCACAAGATGTCAATCATTCTATCCCTCATAACTCCTACTACCTCCATAGATTTCTCATTCAAAGTCCCAATATTCCAAGTGCCAAACTAATCTTGCTCTCATAAACTAACTTCTTTAGCCGCCTTTGTCCAAAAGAGTGCGGTAGCCCTTGCTCATTTAACACTACCTCTGGGCTATGATACAGCGGCTCTGGCTCACTTCTCACTGTACTCGAGCCATACAACACTTTACTTCTGGGTAACGACCTTGCAGTGGCATAATTATTTTGTTGATCCATGTTCATGAGATTTGACAGATTTTTACGTTAGCTGTCGAAAGTCTAACACAACCCTCCTCCTTAATCTTTTATTACTGCTCAGATAATTGTCAGTGGCGTTATCATGTCAGTTTCTCACAAATAAAATACAATGAACGGACTAATAACATTTACACAGATTGTGATTTAATCATCGTCGTCGTCATCTCATATGTAGACTGTTAATTTTATTAAGAGCACATATAAATATTCAATTCACATATAATAAAAAATCATCCCCATTATTCTAAGTATAAATAATGTGGCTTATTTTTCAAATTTCATGCAATATAGGAGTTTTACTATCCAAAATGAGAATACTTATGTATAAAGAATCCCTATCCAAAAAATATATGCAAAGGATCCCATTGAGAAAACAATGCTATGATAAGCTAAATTGAGAAAAAAATGTAGTGAAAAAAACCAAGTTGAGAAATATCTCCTTCGCGAGAAATTAAATAAAAAAAGGACAACTTTACGACATATCAAATTTAAAAGAATACTTAAAAGTTTTAGAGAATCAAATCTTTGTATTCTAAGAAAAAAGAATTAAGACAGTTGATTCTTTTCTTTTCTTTTTGTTTTTTTGGGTATTTGTAAGTTGTAACTCATTGTAATATAACAACCCCATATAAACCACAATCATTCCCATTTAATTAATATCATATATGGCTGCTTTAAACAGAATCAGCTTTTGCCAAATGGGAAATAACAGAGGCTTTAAATAATAAGCTATTAGCCTAGCTAGGAGATTCGAACACATTAATCATAATAACAACCACACTAAGAAAAGTGAAGCTCTAATTTAAATTCTAAAGTGAAGAATCAATCACTTTGAAGAATATTGCAGTGAGCAGAAGAAGTTGTGGGAGACGACGCAGCAGGTGGGTGATGACCAGGCAAAGTGAGCTCCTTCAACTGTGAATGCATGTTGTTTATGAAAGCCATCACCTTTTGTTGTGGTTCCTCCATATCTACCTTCAGCTTCCCCAACGCCTTGCAATATGCTTCCTTTTCAATATTCATATATGGAAAAATAATAAACTTTCATCAGTGATTCTCCGTGAACACCTGCCTTTATTATAAACACAAGTTCAAAGAAAAAGTTTGATCCCAAAAGACTAGCCAAGAGAGTCCCTTTGACTTAAAAATTACATCAGACTTATGAGACTTCCCGACGTGAGACCGGTAATAGGATGCTTCTGTTAAACTCAAGTCTAGGAGATTAAGGATGCCATTTGTATCAGGTTAAGGCTATTAGCTAAGTAAAATAGACATTGTCAATTAAAAAAAAGTTGTATTTTGTCATGTTTTGTTTCTGAACAGGAAGCAACATAGATCACCGAGGAGATTAATTGTAGCATTTATAATAAAGGCGAGTGAGCCCTTGAGGACACAGACTGGTGATAGAGTTGGAACAAAAAACTATGCACATTCATCAGAGAAGTCATTTTCATGAACATGCTTTGGGATTCCATGAGAGGTTTCCATCAATGTAAGAAATTAACAAAGCCATCTTGATGCTCTTTGTCTCTCTTTTTTTCCATGGGATTCCCTGAACTGTAGTACATTTCTCAGTCAGATCCTCTCAAGCATTCAATATAATGTCTTCTGTGTAAAAACTGAGACCGCTCTGAGAAGGACAGAGCAAGGAGAAGAGACAGAGATAGAGAGACTGGGAATTGCAGAAGTCATACCATGAAGAGATCAAGCTCTGGCTCGCTGAATACGTCCAAGCTTTGCCTGTTCATAATTAGCTTCTGATCCATCTCCAACGCTCTCTCCAAGTCGGAAATTTCACCTACCTGCTGAACAAAGAGAAAAACTGATTAATCATGAATTTGTTTTCCTGCTCTACACAATGAAACTGAAATAACTTATGAAGTGACCAGTTCATTTTTACTGGTAATCATTATTCTTTCTTTCCATTAACAACCAATCTGAACATTCAAATGCATATATGTAACATAAATTACAACAAAATGCCTAGCTAGTTTTAAGATAGCCTTTGCCTTGATCATCTGTGAATAGACAATCCAATATCTCTGTGATTTCTTTGCAAGTGAGACACAAAAACAGCTAGGAGGACCAGAGGATTATTTCAAGAAATCATGAAATGAGAGACAAACTCTGTACAGTATGAATATAAACGATGCACTAGGAAGGTGAGAGAGAGAGAGAGAGAGAGAGAGACCTTCAAACACTGCAAGTGAGCTTGAACTAGGAGTTCATAGAGAGGATGGCTAGAGATTCTTCTCTTGAGGACATCGTCCTTTTCTAAACCTTGTTCACTGTTCTCAGCACTGTGAAGCCTCTCAGATTCCATATCCATATTTGAGCATACGCAAAGTACCCTTTGGCATACCATATATATAGATCTTGTGTGTCTGGATAGAATATATATGTATATATAAAATGTAAGTGAGAGAGGGCAGTGCGAGGGATGGATGAGTGGTACGGTCGGTGAACAGTGGAAGAAGATTGTACTAAGTTTGGAAGAAAGCGAAGGGGAGAAATTTGCATGGGAAGGGGTGAAGGGACAATGGGGGAAAAGGGGTCAGAGAGGAGAGTTGAGAGAGGAATATGGACATAAGAACGAAAGCAAATGAAGGGATTGGACTTTCTGCCTCCCCCATTTTCCCGTTTCTTCCTCCCTTCCTTCCTGAAAGCTACACATCGGGCCTTTCTCGAGAAATGGCCTCCCTCTCATTTTCTTTTTCTTGTCCTGCTTTACCCCTTCCTTTTCCACCCAATTAAAATAGGTTTAAACCTTTTTGCTTTTAGATTTTGCACTAACCAGTATTTATTTATCTAATTAAACTATTTATTGGTAACATTGATTGTTAGTTTTACAAAAAGTCTCCCTGGTTTGACTAATATCCTTATTATAAGTTTTATACAACTAATTTGCGGATAACGAACTATTAGTCAAAATTAGTTAGAAATAATAAATAGGTTAAAAATATAATTTTGTTTCTAAATATGCGCTTATAATAAATGAGACAAATAATGAAAAAGAATGTGTGAGAAAATATAATAAGAAAGAGTATAATAAAGGAGAGAAAATAAATAAATAATTAAAGACAAAAATAAAAAAATATTAAATATTAAAACAAATATCAAATTGAAACTTATAAAATAGACCATATCTTTTTCTAAATTTAAAGTTTATAAATAAGAGTGGATGGAAAACGTTGCACGTCTAATGAAAAAAATCTTCCGGTCAAGGGGGGCATTATTGTCCCTAAACTGACACCGCAAAATTCAGTAATGCTAAGCGCATGCACTTTGTTCGTAGCATGAACTTGAAGCATAAGTTTTAGGGAAAATTGCAAATAAAGACCCCCCAATATATAAAATGGCAATCAGGGACCCCCAATTTGAGAAATTGCTGCAGAGGATCCGGTCCCAATCTGCAATTATGAAATGTAAGGAAAATGGCTGAAATGCCCCTCACTCATTTGAAAAGAAAAAAACCTGTCCGCGCTCTCCTCCCCCCAAAACGCGCGGTAACTTCCTTTGTATATCCCCTCGGCCATTCTTTGCGGTCTGCTCTGTTTATTTGTGCGCAAGAGTTTGTTTCCATTTTGCGGCGATAGGAGTATTGTGTGAGAGAAGAGTGTATTTGCTGTGGGAGACGAGAACGGAGTCGTGCTGGAATAGTGATCTATCGACATCATCAAAGGCAAGGGAGGAGGTAGAGGCATCGTGACAGTCGTGTGTGGCTATCAAAGTTAACAGCGGCATTTGGCGACAAAATCTGGTGGTAAGTTTCAAGCTTTAGTTTGTTTGTGTTCGTTGCTGCCTGTGTGATACATTAACGAGAGGGAAGGGAATGCGTTTAGGGCAGGAACGTATATATATGTTTTTTCTGTTGAATATGCTGTGACTGATTGGCGAAAAATGGTTATCTGTGGAAGAAGATGGGCGAATGGGTTTGGGTGGGAAGGGAATTAGAAGATCAGTTAGGAGGATGACAAGATTAGTTTGGGAAATGACGACACTTGAATGGGTAAAGGGCAAATTGAATTGGTTAACTATTAATTGATCTGAAGAGATGTTAAAGTGATAGTGTCATTTAAAATGACAAAATTGAAGTAGGGGGATTGACAAGTTGATAATGCAAAATAAGAATGTGTAATTGACAAGTTGGTAATAGAAAATAACAAGTTGAATATAATGAATAACAAGTTATTGAGCAGTTGGGAATAAGAAGGTTGCCATGGGTTCCTAACAAGTTAACAATAGGAAATGACAAGTTTAAAAATGACAATAAGAAGTTGGGAATAAGAAAGGCGATTATGACAAATGGAGAACTTTATAATGTAAAATAACTAGTTGATAATTATAAATGACAAGTTAATGATGAGAAATAACAAGCATGAGAAGTAGTTGAGAATAACAAGTTTACTTTGAGAAATTAACAACTTGCTTATATGAATTACAAGTACATGTTTCGAAATAAGAAGTCAATGGTGGTGATGTAAGAAGGCTGTTGGTTACAGAATAGGTTGTTAACAGAGGTGATAGTTAGTTAGTAAATGTGGTTGTGAAGGATTGTATGTTGAATATTTTGCAGGAAGAGGAAGATGGCATCAGAAGGAGCCTCTGGATCAAAAAAGGCACACAACGGTTGGTTGTTATTCAGAAGTGAGTTTATGGCCACAATAGCTGACCCTGACATGACAGCCAAACAAAAAAGAGATGCTGCGTCAAATGCATGGAAAGCTCTGGCCGCTGAAGAGAAGATGAGGTACACCGAGGAGGTGAAGAAAAGAAGGGCACAAAAGGGAGAAGAGGAGAAAAAGAAACATGTCCCATCATTTCTAACCCGGGTGTCCCTGAAGGGATTAAGAAAATTACTGCACTTTGTGAACAATAATGAAGACTTAAGGGAGAGGGTTGAGAGGATGGGCTTCGGGAGGCTGTTGAAGGTTGGATTAAAGAGACTACCCCGTGATCTCATTGTGACCATGCTGAGATCATATGACCCGCCAACGCATCAATTTACAATCAGGGGCAAATCAGAGGAAATAGGAGCAGAAGATGTTGAGCAACTGCTAGGAATCCGTCACGGTGGGGAGGAGGTGAAAACTAAAGTTGATGAGAGTGATGCTACGTATCAGGAGTTGAGAAATGAATATCGGAAAGTGTCATTCAGCAAAATACTAAACGACATTGTTTCAGGGGAGGAGGATCACAGATTCGAGTTTTTATTTGTGCTATACACCCTGGGTACTTTTCTATGTCCGAATTCAAGCTCAGAAGTGAGTGAGAAGTTGGTTAGAGTCATGCGCTGCACAATGGATGACTTTGGAAAGTATGATTGGGCTACCTATATTATAAAGGACCTCTGGAAAGAAATGGGAGACTATGTCAAAGGGTACAGGCGGGGCAATGAAGGGCAGGGGAGTAGCACTGTTGGTGGCTGCATATACTTACTTCTGGTATGACTATTTTATTTGTCATTGTGTTTGCATTTGATTACCGATGTGCATAACGTTAATGTTGTATATATGTGGCTGGCTTGCAGCTTTTTTTTGGTGAGAATTTTAACCTAAACACGCCTGTTGGCCGAGAGTCCACTACTGCAATTGAATACTGGACTGATGAGAAGATAAAAGAATTGGCCAGCAAGGAGAGGAAGAGTGTTAGGGGAATTATGTATGGAGGAAAAGGCAGTGAAGTTGTGACAGGGAAAGAAGAGAGGATAATTGTAGAGTTTTTGGACCCGGTATGTGGTATAATTGGTAAACTAAAGTTTTTATTTCGTAACCTGAACTTGTTATCTGCCATAGTATTGTTGTCATTTCCTATACTGAAGTTCTGATTTGCTATAGTGACATAGAGCTTTGTCATTGTTAAGTTGTAATTTGGCAAACTTAAGTTGTTATTCGCAATACTTATGCTGTGATTGGCCATATTGAACTTATCAATGGGTAGACTGACTTGTGATTTTGTATATTGAACTTGTCATTCGGTATAATGAACTTGTCATCTGCGATACGTGAGTTGTGATATGGTTTACTGAACTTGTCATTCGGTATAATGAACTTGTCATTTGCCATACGTGAGTTGTGATATGATTTACTGAACTTGTAATTCTGTATAATGAACTTGTGATCTACCATACCTTAATTGTAATTTGGTTTACTGATGTTGTCATTCGGTATAATCAACTTGTCATCTGCCATACACGAGTTGTGATATGGTTTACTGAACTTGTCATTTGGTATAATGAACTTGTCATCTGCCATACGTGAGTTGTGATTTTGTTTACTTAACTTGTCATTCGGTATAATGAACTTGTCATCTGTCATACCTAAGTTCTGATTTTGTTTACTGAACTTGTAATTCTGTATAATGAACTTGTGATCTGCCATACCTGAATTGTAATGTGGTTTACTGAGGTTGTCATTCGGTATAATAAACTTGTGATCTGCCATACCTAAGTTGTTATTTTGTTTATTGAACTTGTAATTCTGTATAATGAACTTGTGATCTGCCATACCTGAATTGTAATCTGGTTTACTGAGGTTGTCATTCGGTATAATAAACTTGTGATCTGCCATACCTAAGTTGTTATTTTGTTTATTGAACTTGTAATTCTGTATAATGAACTTGTGATCTGCCATACCTGAATTGTAATCTGGTTTACTGAGGTTGTCATTCGGTATAATAAACTTGTGATCTGCCATACCTAAGTTGTGATTTTGTTTACTGAACTTGTAATTCTGTATAATGAACTTGTGATCTGCCATACCTGAATTGTAATCTGGTTTACTGAACTTGTCAATATGTCATAGTGAAGGTGTCATTTTCCATAGTGAACTTGTTGTTGTATATACTTACTTGATTAATGTCTTTTACATGCAGGAGCTGAAGAAGTTACGTGAGCGCCTAATGAAGAGGATAGAGGAAGGGCAAAAGATGCTAATGAAAATGGTGGATGAGGAGTTGGTGAAGGTGCAAATCCCAAGACAGGGAGATGGTGGGAAGGGTAAATCAAGAGGAAAGGCTCGGGTTGAGACAGTGCCTACAAATAGAAGTGACTCTGAAGATGATGAGGAGGAGAGGCGCAACAATGATGACACAACTGAGGAAAAGGAGAAGGATGAAGTAAGCAGTGAAGATGGAGACAGTCATGGGAAGGGCGACACAGAGAATGACAGCGACAATGAAGAGATGGAGGAAGAGGGTCAAGGGGATGGTGATGACAGGAGCGAAGGGGAGAGGGAATACAAGGGTGATGCAGAGGGTGACATACCTGCAGCCAGTCCCCCTAGGGAAGTGTCACCCACCATTGAAGGTGATGAGGCAGAAGGTCACTCACC